GTCACCACTCACAGTAGTTAAATGGAGAATACAGCTCAAGTGCCCATCGACTGCCACAGGGATGAAGACATTGCAGTGTGTCTGTGTGTCTGTAACCCACAGGGATGAAGAAGCTACGGTGTGTCTGCATGTCTGTAACCCACAGGGATGAAGACGCTGCAGTGTGTCTGTGTGTCTGTAACCCACACGGGTGAAGATGCTGTGGTGTGTCTGTGTGTCTGTAACCCACAGGGATGAAGACGCTGCAGTGTGTCTGTGTGTCTGTAACCCACACGGGTGAAGATGCTGTGGTGTGTCTGTGTGTCTGTAACCCACAGGGATGAAGACGCTGCAGTGTGTCTGTGTGTCTGTAACCCACACGGGTGAAGATGCTGTGGTGTGTCTGTGTGGCTGTAACCCAGCTTTAAAGAGGAGTGAAGCACTGACATAGGCTGCAACTTGGATGAACTTTGAAAACATTGACTGAGTGAACTGAGGTAGACACAGAAGTCTGCATCCCAAATTGTCTCATGGATATGAAGTATGGAGAGCAGGAAATCCCCAAGAGACGGATCTCAGGAGGTGAGTGGAGGGGAAACAGAGTGACTGCTTAATGGAAATGAGGTTTCCTTTTGGTGAGGAAAATGTCCAAAACCAAATAGTGGGATACTTGCACAGCATTGTGAATACGTAAAGTATCACTGGCTATTACCATTATACCAAGAGCTAAAATGGTAAATTTATGTTACGTGTATCTTAACACAATAAAAATGAGTGCCACATTTTGTTTAGTGAATCAACAAAATAAACATCTCGGTTTAAACGCTGGATTCCCCAACAGAACCAGGACTTCCTCCTGGAGCTGGATCATCAGCCCCCAGGGAAGGGACTGGAGTGGGTCAGGTGCACAGGTCAGAAGGGAGCACAAATTCCAACCCACTCCTCCAGAGTCCAGTCACCACCTCCAGATCTATGTTCAAAAACAGTTCTTCCTATGGCTGAGCTACAGGAGCAACAAGTACAAAACCATGTTTGTTTGTTGTTTTTCAGATAGAGTCTTGCTGTGTCACCCAGCTGGAGTGCAGTGGGACAATCTTGGTTCAATACAACCTCCACATCGTGGGTTCAAACGACTATCCAGCCTCAGCCTCCAAGAAGCGGGACCGCAGGCACCATCACCACACTAGGCTAATTTTTGTATTTTTGGTAGAGAATGGTTTTCACTATGCTGGCCAGGCTGTCTTGAACTCCTGACCTTGTGATCCACCTGCCTTGGCCTCCAAAAGTGCTGGGATTTCAGGTGTGAGCCACTGTGCCCAGACACAAACAAGTATTTTTAAGCAAAAGACACAGTGAGGAGACATCAGTGTGAGCCCACACACAAACCTTCCTGTTGGGGTTTACAAGACAGCAGAGGGTGCTGAGGACAGAAGCCAGCACCCAGAAACCAGCAGGGAAACCCAGGGGGCACATAGCACCGCATGAGGTCTCAGGACCACTGTGGGGCTCAGTGGTCAGGCAGGCTCAAGGGTCAGCCTCGGAGCAGGTGTAGCAGGTGGGGAAAGGCCTGAAGACAGGTTTTAGTGTCACCTTCTCATTCCACCACTAGACACTACATCTATTCTAATGTGTATGAGTGTTTATGTGTTTAGAGAATAACATTTATATTATGAATCTATAGCCATATGTGGGTGCATCAAGTTACCCTCTTCAACCTATGTGCACTCTGTTCATTAGGAATCAGTCCATGCATTTGAGGACCTCACAAATTAATACTTATGTAGAATCACTTTATTTTCAGTCTCCTTTCCTCCCTCTTTCTTTCTTTCTCTCTCACACACTGACATACGCATGGGGTGCCGTAAGGTTAATTACTTGAGGTATTACAGACTATTGATTCATTTGCAACTTGACCACTTTAGCTGCTGTTCACGTTGCTATAAGATCTAGAACATGTTTCTCTGCTGTGTACTCCTCTAAGCTGAGGAGCAGCTTTATTTCAAATACACAGAAACTGAAAACAATCCAAATACCAATCAGCACCTTTATCAGTAAACAAATTGTGGAAAAGTCGTTTATTGGAATAGTACCCACTACTGCAATCAGTTAATGTTGGATCCGATCAACAGCATGGTTCAATTCACAAGTACATGCAATGAGTATAATGCGCCAAAGCACATACATATGATTCCGTTTTATAAACTGTACAAAGTGAATACTCATCGGAAGTTACATAACAAAGATCACTAACTGACTTCTCCATGGTAAGAGAAGTGAAGGTATAGGAAGGAGAAATTGCGGGAGACAAAGAGAAAATTGAGAGGCGAATTGATTTGTTTTCTCTGTGAAGGGTGATTAGGTCAATGTCTGTCAAATGGTGAACATACTATGTGAAGACTATGTCAGTATTCCCTCATTAAAACTATTAAAAATAAAAGTCTAATGTGGTAGGAGACGAGGAGAGAAATAAAAATAATACAATAAAAGTCATGAACTCCTGAATACTCACATGAATTAACCCTCAGTTTTTCTACATTACTTAGAAAGACACCAAGATACAGCCAAATAATATCACAGTATCATTATAAGAAGATTGTTTTGTAAACCTCACTTGGAATTTCTAGCTCTTTCCTAGAGTTAATTTAGGGAACAGTTGGATCCAATTGTGAGAAACGCAGGCCAGACACCGACACTGGCTCTTACCAGATGTGAGCTCTTAGACATGTCACATGGCCCCTCCATACTTGGGGGTTTACATTCACATCTGTAAATGAAGGAAGCATTGACTCCCAAAGAACATATTTCATGTGCATGTAAAAGTATGAAGGCTAATGAGAATTAATTACTTATGAAGTATAATCACCCACATCCACTCTTGGACACAGTGCACTGTGATGCATCCCTTACAGAACTCATTATATAGTAGGAGACATGCAAATGGGGTCCTCCCTCTGCTTATATGAAAACTAACCTAGCCCTGACCCTGCAGCCCTGGGAGAGGAGCCCCAGCCCCGGGATTCCCAGGTGTTTCCATTCGGTGATCAGCACTGAACACAAAACTCACCATGGAGTTTGGACTGAGCTGGGTTTTCCTTGTTGCTATTTTAAAAGGTGATTCATGGAGAAATAGAGATGTTGAGTGTGAGTGAATATGAGTGAGAGAAACAGTGGATCTGTGTGGCAGTTTCTGACCAGGGTGTATCTCTGTTTGCAGGTGTCCAGTGTGAAGTGCAGCTGGTGGAGTCTGGGGGAGGCGTGGTACAGCCTGGGGGGTCCCTGAGACTCTCGTGTGCAGCCTCTGGATTCACCTTTGATGATTACGCCATGCACTGGGTCCGCCAAGCTCCAGGGAAGGGTCTGGAGTGGGTCTCTGGTATTAGTTGGAGTGGTGGTAGCACATACTATGCAGACTCCGTCAAGGGCCGATTCACCATCTCCAGAGACAACGCCAAGAACTCCCTGTATCTGCAAATGGGCAGCCTGAGAGCTGAGGACACCGCCTTGTATTACTGTGCAAAAGATACACGGTGAGGGGAAGTCAGTGAGAGCCCAGACACAAACGTCCCTGCAGGAAGACAGGAGGGGCCAGGGCTGCAGACGGCACTCAAGACCCACTGAGCACAGGGTTCTTTCTGGGCAAGTTGCTCAGGAAGGTTAAGGGCTGGTTTCCTTTCAGAGTCTTAGCAATTTCTCCATCTAACAGTTTCCCCAGGAACCCTGTCTAGATCTGTGATCTGGATCTACTGAGACTGCCTGTGTCACCTTCCTCACCTGTGACTTTGGGGGAGCTGATCGTGGACACTCCAGTGTGTAGGATTTCTTGGTGACAGCAATTGTGTCTTCTGTCTAGGTGTGTCGAGGGCTGACAGCAATTGTGTCTTCTGTCTAGGTGTGTCTAGGGCTGACAGCAATTGTGTCTTCTGTCTAGGCGTGTCTAGGGCCGGCCTTCAGGAAGGACAGGCTGGAATTCTTGGAAAGAGGCGCACCTGCCATCCATCAGGGAATTTTGTTGTTTTTTGTTCTGCTAGAATTAAATCGGGCACACCCAGGATAACTAGTACTATCTTCCTAGGTCAAGAAACTGGATGGCAGGTTTGAATAACACCTATATGAAATCATCAGAGCAACACCTAGATTCGAGTCTCATTTAATGATTGAGACTGTGTTCTAACCAAGGAGACACGTAAAACTGGTGATTGCCGTGGTCAGTTCATATCATATATTTGTCAATAGAATCTGGCTGGTATTATAAGCAGCTTTGCCAAAATATGTGTGTTAGTGTTGGTTTTCAAAGAAGCACATTCTTGACTGGATTAAGTTTGTGTACAGTTTCCTAAGGAACTCGCCCACACTTTTGAGAGGAAATGCAGAGGGGGTGGAAGGAGGCTGGGGAATCTGAAGGCATGTGAGGGAAGTCGATCCCTGACTGAAGGAGAGAGGGAGGAGGACTGGGAGGAACTTTATTAACTTCTGTGCTGCTCTAGAAGGTCCAGCAAGGGCACTGAGTCAGAGTCGTGTCAAAGTTTCCCATCGGGGACCCAGTGACTCCCAGCAGTGGCTCTGCTCAGATCAGCGCAGAGCTCGTTCTTCTCCTGAGAGTGGAGCCCAGGACGGGGCTCCAGCACCAGCCATGTCCTGGAAGACAGAGTGCAGCCCCGGGCACCTGGGTCAGGTGCGTTGTGCTCCCTGAAGGTGGAGGGAGGGAGGTGCTGACTCAGGGCCCACACGGTGTGGGTTCTATACAGAACACAGGCTTTTACTTCATTTCTGTGGATGACATAGAAACAAACATGCAGTCTGTAAACAATGGTGATTTCTAATTTGTCCCAATTGCTTTATTCCTTGATTCCACAGAATGTCCTGGAACAGAATTGCCTTTCTCATGTGGAATTGTGACGTGTGGAGGATGTGTGATCCCCCCTTTCATTGTTTTCCTCCATGTACAGAGATCCTGAGTAGAATACAGCTGACTCTCCTTCTGCACTGTTCCTCTCCTCCCCACAGGAAGAGCAGATAATTACCTGAGGCTGACTCTGAGGTGGGATCTGTCCTGTGCACCTCAGAGCCTGCAGAGACCCCCGGTTGCAGATTCATGGGGTCAGGTGTTTGTGCGTGTGGGAACCTCGAGCTGTTCTTTTGTCAGTGAACACTGCTTAGAACTAATTGTGGGTTCAGAATTAGGACACCCCCTGAGCTATCACACCTCAGCTCATTCTGCCACTCACAATCTCCAGAAATTCAGGAAATGGTTGAATTTACATTTTTGGGCCGAATTGTTCTCATTTCACTCAGTTGTGAGTTTGCTCAGCAGAAAGTGCCACCATTGATGGGTCCCCACCTGATGCAGCTCATTTGCTTCCACAGAAGTTAGGAGGCTCCTGAAACTTCTCATCCGCCCCTCTCTCTGATCTTCATGTGAAATTCCGTTTAACCTGGAATTCCGGTGTGTTGGTTTAGCCAGATTTCCCCATCCTCCATGTCTGATTTTTCTGGGTGTCTGATCAGGTTCCTTGCCCTTCACCGTACCTCGGTGACATCGAATCACCCTGGCCCAACATCAACAAGAATGCTGGCAGGTTGGTTTAAGGAGATTTGGCCACGCGCCTGATGTTTCCGCTTAGTAATTTTCCATCTTCTGGACCCCACCCCGCTGCTTGGTTGTAAATCCTCACGTTCCCATTCTGCATTTGGAGTTCAGCTGAATCTCTCTCCTCACAGCAAAACACCATTGCCCTGGTCCCTACACCTACCATGAGGACCCTGGATAAAGTCTTCCTCACTGTGCTGGAACAAGTATCTTTGCTTGATATTTTTTCTTTGATGAATCTATCTTTAGTGCTTCCTAACTGCTCAGGGAACCTCAAAAAATAAGAGAAGTGCGATGATCCATTTTACTATGAAGTGTGTATGTGTGAGTTTCATTTTCCATGTGTGGTGTCCAGAAGTCCTGAGAACCAACACTTTTGCTTTTCTGTCCAATTCTTTGCTTCTGAAACCTGGGAGTCATCCCAACATGGGTAAATAGGCCATTTGTTTTCGTTTTTACTGTTTAGGGACCGACATGTTTCACTTACCCTGAAGCTTCATGAACACATTGATGAAAAGCAGATAGAGGACTTGTTTGGAAATGCCAGATTTATGGTAGACTGAACCACCCACATGTGTCTGGAGGTCTTAGGATTCTAAGAACAGGATGTTTTTTTTCACCACAGGACAAGGATGAGAACCTCTGATCTGTGATGATAAAGGACAGGCAGGGCGGTGTGAGGACAAGGATGCACTGCTGTCTTGTCCGGGGTGTTCTCTCCTAGCAACGCCTCCATCTCCTTCCTCACTCTGTGGTATCTGTCAGATGCGAAACTTGCCTAGAATTTATCTCTGACAAACGGATGGAAGCCCAGGCTGGAGGCATTTGACAGCTTATTTCTGAACCTACTTTTTTAAGGAATGCCCAGATCCCTTGCTCTCCTTCCTGGTTCCTAACACCTTTAGCTCCCTTCCCCTCCCGCACCCATCCACTGCCTATTTACCGCCCCTTCCCCACACCCTTCACTCTAGCACCATTTTCTTGGGCTTCTGGGAAACACAACAGCTTTGGTTCAACTCACAGCTCAGGCACACTCATGGGTCCCTCCAGAGCCTCTCAACTTTCCTCCTACAGTCCCTCAGCTCCTCCTTGTGGTCCTAACTCGGCCATCTCTACCCTCTCTGCTGAGCCTAACCATCCACAGTCCATCCCATCAGGATTTGTGTATAGCAGTGGGTTAACTCAGCAGGCCTGAATTGGTCAAACCCTGCGCGTTCCTAAAAAAGGAAATAACTAAAAAAATTAAAAGAAAACTTTTCTTCATTTATGGCTCTCTCTTACCTCCTGGGAGATGAGGTGTCCAAGTCCATAAAAGATTCCACCTGATAGCAGTGTCTGTGGATGTCTGCAGCCTTGGAACATGCGGTACGAGTTTAATCACGAGTTTATATATAGTGTATTTGCGAGGGTAAGTGTGTATATATATGCACATATACATATACATGTTTTCCTTATCTAATCATAATAAATAGACACTAAGTTTGGCACCATATATGTGCTACTATGAATAACACAACAATAAAAATAAATGCAGGCATCTGTCTAATATAAAATTTATTTTCCTTTGAGCCAATACCAAGTAGTGGAGTTGCGGAATCAAATATTAGTTCGATTATTAGTTCTCTGAGAAGTTTCCATACTGTTTTCCATATAGCTTGTACTAATTTACATTTTCTCCAACAGTGTATATGCACTACTGTTTCTCTGTATCCTCACCAACATCTGTTTATGTTCAATTTAGTTTTTATTTTTAACTTTTTAATAATAGCTAGTCTGACTGGTTTAATATGGTTTCTCATTGTGACTTTAAATTGCATTTCTGTGATGATTAATGCCATTGATTGTTTTTTCATATGCTGGTGGATGATTTTTATGTCCTGCTTTGAAAAATAAATGTCTGTTATTTGCTCTTTAAAATGAGGTTATTTGTGTTTTCTTGTGTTGTTTTTGTTTCATGCACATTCCAAATATTAGCTCTTTGTCAGACGTAGTGTTTACAAATATTTTTCGTCATTCTGTAGGTATTCTGTTAACTTTGTTAATTTTTTATTTTGCTGAGCACATACTTCTTATTTGTATGAAGCCTAAATTGCCTATTTTGGTTTAAGTTCTGTTTACTTTTACAGTCGTAGTCATGAATTCTTTGCCTAGGACAATGTCCAGAAAAACATTTCCTAGGATTTCACCTACAACCTTCAGACTCTCAGGTCTCCCAGTTAAGTCTTTTATAGGTTTTGGCTTAACTTTTGCACATAGTGAGAGATATGGGTCCAGTTTTATTCTTCTGCAAATAGCCTTTCAGTTTTTGCTGCACAATTTATTGAACAAGGTGACCTTTTCCCAGGATATGCTTTTTGTCTAGTTGGTCAGTCAGTTGGCTGCAGGCTTGTGACTTTATTTCTGGAATGTCTATTCTGTTCCACGCATCTATGGTTCTCTGCTTGATTGTTACGTGTGTATAAACATAGTATTGTCTTTTGTATGTTTTTTCCATCATTTTAAAACTTTGCTGAATTAATATATCAATTCTAGGAGTCTTTCTAAAGAATATTAGTTTTTTAAGTAGAAAATCATATTATCAGCAAATACAAATTAATTTTACTTTCTCTTTTCCAATTTGGGTGTCTTTATTTCTTTCTCCTGCCAGACTACTCTGGCCAGGATTTCAAGTTCTATATTGATTAAGTGGTGAAAGTGGGCATCCTTGATGTGTTCTGAGTCTTAGGAGGAATACTTTCAACATATTCCTATTCAGTATAATGTTGGATGTGAGTTTGTCATATGTGGTTTTATTCATTTGAGGTATGTTTTCCTTCTATTCTAATTTCGTTGAGGGTTTTTATCATAAAGAAATCCTAAATGTTATCAATTGCTTTTTCTGGACCTATTGACATGATTATATGTTTTTTGTTTTGAATTTTGTTTATGTAGTGGATCACAGTTATTGATACT